TAGGGAAAATCGGAAGTTCTAGTTTTAGATTATCCTCTCAGCAGACTACAACTTGGGTGTAATTGTGCTAAACTGAGGAAAGTTGCATTGCTTGAAACACAACATGAACAAATAATCTCTTTGTCATCATAGTTCTTACAAAGCTGTACCGTGCGGTCGGCAGCACAGGGCTAGGACAGTGCTTTGTTAACTTCTGTAGTTCACAGCAGTAATTAAATATCATTTATGTGAGAGTATGTGGACTTGGAAGCTATTGTTTCATTCATTCCAAAATGGAAAGACTCTGGTGGTGGCTGAAGTATGTGTTTCTCTGGCAGCTGGTTTTGTCTTGCTCCTGTGGTAGTGAGGAATTTCATTGTAAGTAGTAAGAGCTGCTCTGTGGCATTGTCTCTGCAGGGTGAATTGGTTTGCACTGCACAAACCAAGAAGCAGTAGAAGAACTATTGAATTTCCAAAGAGTTGGTTCTCATAAAAATTGAGCCAAGGAATACACTTGTGTGTTTTCTATATGATATGCAAAATAAAACAAACACTGTGATAACTGTAGCATTAACTGTAGCATTGTTTATATTCCCTAGAGCTTGTTACTGTCAGACACCAGAAAAAAACTATGACCTGAACGTTAAATGACAGTCAGATGAAATTGTCTGTTTGGTTCTTACACAGGAAATCTGAATTATTGTAGTCCATGTAATACTATGATATGCAGGAACCTCCCGTTTCCTCGGTACTCTTTTATTCTACTTTGGTTTTGCTGACTGCTTCTCTGTGAATTAAAAGCTAAAGGCTCACTGCATGTGTGCCCACACAATTTAAAAAATAATCTAAGCACAGCCAGTTCTTGTACAGGCCTCATCAGTGAGGCTGTCAATAGCCGTTTTGGTTTAGGATCCTATTTCTGTTTCAAGGCAAACCCACTGACTCATCTGTTCTCTGAAATCTTAGCAGCTCTCGATCAGCAGGTACTGGTAGTCCAACTCTTCTTAGTCCGTGTCAGTGTGAAGTGAGAAGAGGTGTAAATGGACAGCAGCACAGTTCATGCTAAATTGCTGGATTTCCTACTGCAGTGGACTGTTTTCCTTACAAAGTCTCTCCTTCTAGGGACTAGGCTAGGTGGGAATAATTGATGGGGGGAAGAGTCAGTAGCTTCTTAAATTGCCTCTTAGTGGTACGTGATGTTAGTTGGTAGCTCACCGCGAGGTGAGGCTAGTTAATCCACTTAGGTGGTGGTTTTAATTAACCTCTTTAACCCTGTCATGAAACAGAGTTATGATGAACAGTTGCAGTCACCACTGCAGTCACCTAGTCCATTAAGCTGAAAAGTACTTTAAACAGCTGCATTTCTACCACATAATCGATTCTGCTCTCAGCCAGAATTTGTGTGACTTGGTCCCTGCGTGGTGGAAAAAGGTCTTGTTTTCTGAGGATGACTTAGAACAAATTTCTCTTCTGCAAACAGATGTTGCAGCAGTTCCCTAAATAATGTAGATCAGTAAGACTGACCTGAAGCCAGGGCAGATTCCTGATCCATCCCATTTAGGTACAGTAGGACTTTTCAGGAAGTTCTCCAGAGGAAGTGGTGCAAAAATATTCTCCAAATATTTACTACTCCTCATTTTCATGCCCTGTGGAGAGTGGATCCTGTGTTCTGTTGCAGCACAGATGCCATGGATGATAGTTGACTTTTTTACTGAAAAGTCAGTGGTTTATGTTTGTTAAATAGATACTAAAGATGTTCTCATTGCACCTTTTTCCTCTTCAGTTACATTTCAGTTGCTGTTATGCAATTAGGAGATTTAATATGCACAGAACAGTGTCACTGTCTTCCTGAGGCACTAAGAGCATTATTAACCAGAACTGCCTCCTTGACAGTACCTCAGCACTTACATTCCTTCTCTGGCACTGACTCGTTAGTGGAGTATGAAATATACTTTACACTAAGCTCAGACATTATGCACATATTTCATATAGCACAGGAAAAGTGTTTATGCTGCAGATGGTGAAAAACACCTTTTTAAAGTTGTTTTACATGCATGATACAAATTACAACAGTGTTCCTTGATCTATCAGTGACTGTTCTATAATGTAGAAGTACATTTTTACAAGCAACACTGAAACACCTTTTCTTCCAGTTCTGTTCCTACGGCAGTCGCTTGATGGGCAGAGGGTACTATGTCTTTGACAGAAGATGGGACCATTTTCGATTCGCACTGAACTCCATGGTAGAAAAACACTTGAACTCACAGATGTGGAAGTAAGTGGCATTTTTACACTTGGTGGATAGTTTTAACAGGTTTAATTCTGTAAAAGTTCTGAATTAAACACTTCCATGGGCAGTGTTTGTAAAATTACCTCTATTCTGATGTAAATTTCTGCCAGATTTAGAACTCCCTTTTAGTCCTTTTGAATCTGGAGAATAATAATTCAGTAATTCTGTTAACATTGCTTAAAGGCATTAAAGCTCAGTGTTTTCCAGGATTGGATATATGTTTTGATATCATATTGTTTTGTAATGAATTAAACACTTCCATGGGCAGTGTTTGTAAAATTACCTCTATTCTGATGTAAATTTCTGCCAGATTTAGAACTCCCTTTTAGTCCTTTTGAATCTGGAGAATAATAATTCAGTAATTCTGTTAACATTGCTTAAAGGCATTAAAGCTCAGTGTTTTCCAGGATTGGATATATGTTTTGATATCATATTGTTTTGTAATGCACTGGTTAGATTTTGTCCAGGTTTTATAATCTTGCTTAGCTTAAAGGCATTAAAGCTCAGTGTTTTCCAGGATTGGATATATGTTTTGATATCATATTGTTTTGTAATGCACTGGTTATGTCCAGGTTAGGTTTTTATACCTTTATCTTGCTTTCAAAGCTTTCAGATCCAGAATGGATGAAGCCTGGAGCAACCTGGTCTAATGGGAGGTGTCCCTGCCCAGGGCAGGGGTTGGGACTAGATGATCTCTAAGGTTCATTCCAGCCCCTAAAATTTTATGATTCTGTGATTCTCTGCTCCATATCACCCATTCAGGCTTTGCTTTGTAAGACTCATGGGTTGTAAAATAAGGAATTCTGTACACATTTGTCTGTGTGTGAGGTGGAATATGATGGGTGTTTAGTCCATAGTGCCCTTACTGCCTTTGGGATCTTGAAATTCTGAGTATTAGTCACTGTCAAAGCACCTCTGGATCACATATGTACTGTAGGCTTTGACTACACAGATTCCTTAAAATAGACTTCTAAAACAGATGTTAATTCTTTTAAAAAACAATAAAATTAAAAGTTCATGGCATCTGCAGATAGGATAGATTTTTTGGGAGTATTCTGCTACAGACTGTGCATTCTTCTTCAGTGTAATGGCACTAAAGTGCAGTGTTTCGTGTCACTGTTTATTATCAGGACTGTGTTATATTCATTGGATGCCAGCTATTAGATAAACAAGGTTTGATTTTTATTTAAATACATGTTTTTAAGCACTAAAGCTTGGCATGTCTGACTAACCTGGTAGCTCGATGATAACAGTGCTACTGTACTAGGAGACATAGTTTGCAGGTGGTTGGATTTGCCATAAAGGGTTGGTTTCATGTCTGTTTAGAGACTGATCTCCATCTGCAAGGGGTTCCTCTCTTCTACTTCATACATTTGGCTGTTAACTAGTGTCTGTCACTGTCCACCAGTAAAAATATTTTGGTTTCCTTAAGTAGGAAGATTAAAGCTTGTTATCTATTGGCTGTGTTTCTTAGGAGAAAAGATCCTCAGGCATCTGAGGAAACATGTCACTAGTACCACTACTGTCATGGAAAACAAATATACTCAATGCAAGAAAGAAACAGGCCTCATCCTGCTCCCACTAAATCCAGTGGTAAACGTTTTCCCAAATTCCAGCTGTTTATGTAATCTCTAATACTTTAATGAATTCCATCCATACTTCCTTGCCTGTATAACACAGGAAGCTGACAGTGCCTAACCCCTGTTGTCCTCAGCCCTCCTCCCCTGGCCTGACCTTTCCTGTGCTCCCCCAGCCAGGGGTGTGCACAGGGCTGGGAGTTTACAGCTGGTGCTACTGCAGCTGTGCCTGGAGGTACAGGGCTGCAAGGCCATGCTTTGAGCATGATAACATTTACAAAGTACTGTTATCTCTAGTTCTCCAAGTACTTCACAAAGGTGGGTTGGAATTGTTGTCCCTTCTTTACACAGCTCTGATAAGCAGCTTGGTTTGCAGTAGGACTCCCTCGTTCCTGGCAGCAGGGACTGTATGTAATCCCTTATGTAATTGTGCCATAAACAGTGTTCTGTCTATCAGTCTCCATAGGAGGAATACCAGGAGAGAACTCTTGTAATTAGGATTTGATTTATGATAAAACAGCACACCCAGAGCTGCTTCTTTGTCGTGCTCTGTGAGGGCAAGAATAAGCCTTTAAAAACTGAAAAGGTGTCAGCAGTGAGGATAACAAGGGCAGAGCTATGGTGATGTGCAGCTGCTTAACAAAGAGAAGTAGGATTAAACTGTGAATTAAATTTTAGTCTAAATAATGAGAAAACCTCACATGGTAATTTTCCAAGAGATGTTACAGAGGTACAGGTCTTTGATAACACTGGACTAGATAAAATAATACAAGATGATGCTGAATGGAAAGGAATTTGAATGCATTCTACTCATTTCACAGGTAATATTACTAGATTTTATTCTCAGAAGAGTATTCAACTAGTTACAAAGCTTATCAAGCATTGTTTAACATTTTGTCAATTTTTCAATAGCAGTGAAAATTAATCAATAACTCACCTGTTTAATCCTGTCTAACCAGCTCTCAAATGAGCTATTGGGAATAGCACTGCATTTGGAAAGGGATGAGCTTTCCTCTTTAAGCTCAGTGATTAAGTGCTTCACAACCCCCCAGAGTGGCTCATTTACTACCTTTATCAAATTCTACCTGTGAGTTGAGGCTGACACTGAAACTGTTCCACAGCTTGAACTAAGCAAAACATATGCAATGAATGAAATAATAGTGGCTAGGATGTTTATAGGTGCCACTGTCAGGCATTTTATTTGCATTTCTTAATTGTTTGGTAAAACAGGAGAGGGGGAAAAGGAAATTAAATTTGTGATAAAGTGATTAAATTGTAATCCTATGCACTTAATTACTATATGAGATTGGTAGAACAGGAATCAAAATCAGAATGAACTAGGTTTGCCTTTTTTTGCATAAGTTGGTCCTTCACAGAAATTGTTTCCTATCTGCATTGTTTGGATGGAATTTTTTATGTATGTAAATCTCTTATGTTTTCCTCTTTTTGTTTTTCTTCTCTGTAGGAAAATCCCTCCTGCGGCAGATAGTCCCATGCCTTCTCCAGCAGCACATGTCTCCACTCCTTTTCCAGCCTCAGTCTTACAGCCTTTCAGCAACCCCAGTGCAGTGTATATTCCTTCAACACCTATCAGTTCAAGAATCACTTCTTCTTACATAATGACATCAGCCATGCTCTCCAACGCAGCCTTTGTGACAACGGCAGAGACGAATTCCATCATGTCACACACTACAGCTTTCCCTCACGTGGCTGCAAGCCTAAGCATCATGGACTCCACGTTTAAGGCGCCGTCGGCTGTGTCACCAGTGCCAGCAGTCATCCCTTCCCCATCCCACAAGCCATCCAAAACAAAAACCAGCAAATCCTCAAAAGTCAAAGACCTGTCATCTCGGAGCGATGAGTCTTCAAGTAACAAAAAGAAAAAGCCGCAGTCGTCGTCGTCGTCGTCCTCATTGTCTTTGCAGACATCTTCCTCGTCTTCATTTTCAGGGTCCCACAAAAAGAACTGTGTCCTGAACCCCAGTTCAACATTGAACTCCTATCAGGCTACATCCTCCTATAACAGTATGTCTGTGCACAATACCAATAATGGAACAAGCCCACTCAGTGCCAAATCGGAGCCCTCAGGACGGACTTCATTGTCAAGTAGTTCAGCAGACTCAGTGAAACACATGAGCATGGTAGTGAGCAGTATTGACTCCTCTAATCTGTCTGTATCTTCTCTCGTGCACCACTCAGGGGACCACTCCCTGGGAGCACATAATGCAGTGTCTTCTCTACCCCTTTCTTTTGACAAATCAGAAGGAAAAAAGCGTAAAAACTCTAGTTCTAGTAGCAAAGCCTGTAAAATCACTAAAATGCCTGGTATGAATAGTGTTCATAGAAAGAGCACTGCCAACCTTATTTCTGCGGTGCCAGATCCTCCAAGCAGCTCCATCTCTCGGCAGGTAAGGGACTCTTCCAGTTACTTTTTTGCAGATCATGTCTGACTTCCGTGAAATATTTCATGCATTCTGAAAAGAAAACACTGTGTTTGCTTCAGATTGGTTTTCAGCACACAACTTACTTCCTAGGTAAATCAGAAACAT